TATTTAAAGAAAGTTTGTAGGTGAACTATGAACTTGTTTTTTGAATTTTGGTTCATTTAGCTGCATTTAGCTGTTGCTTTGTCTTCTGACAGTAGTGTTCTTGCCTCAGTCCTCTGCTGTGTTAATTCAGTGTGTTCCTGTGATGTAGTTGAGCACAATGGGGAGTAATCTGTTCCAGTAATTTCATAAAAGGCAGTATATGTATGTCACAGTACTACTTATTCTACAGAGTTGACTGACTCTCTCTCTCTCTCGTGATTTGTGGTCCTCCATCAACGTGGATTAATAATGGAACTGGCTGTGGACCTTTTGAAGAACAACATCACTATGACTTCATTTTCTCCTGTTAGTTCACTGCAACTCTGATTAAACAGAGATGAGACAAGTTGATGGAATCTTATATTATATCCCTCTTTTCTACAGCTGCTTATCTCAAACTATCCTACTTCAGATGTGGTTAAATATAGAAAGACTGGCAATTTGCATATAGAACAGGATGATTTTGTTTTGTCAGCCAAATTTATTTAGACTATTTTGCCTTTTTCAAAGGTGAAGCGCATCAGTCCTGCTGCATAACACACAGTTGGCAGCAGCTGAGTGAAATCCTGTCATTGTTCAAGCACATTGAAGTCTACTTTAACAGACCATAGAACAAGGATAACCCTTTATGGGCTCTGTGTTCCCCACTGTGTACAAGACTATTTCTTTCCTGTCCTCTCGGTGTTTTCAGATGTCTTTGTTGCTGTGCTCATCTAACAAAATGTTGGAGCTTGTGCAAATTTTCAACATCTGAGTATTTGTATTTGCATAAGAAAAAAATGAGGCACTTGTATTTTGTAATTAGGACAAGAGGCTTTGAGTGTCACTTCATGGTAGGATGCACAGAGAAAGTGACTAATATGCTTTCCTTCCATAACATATCTGTCATTTCCACATTCAGCTCAAGCTGACATGTGGACAGGGAGCGATTATTTGATAGTGACTGACAAGCTCAATGTGCTGAACGCTGAGGGTGGGTGACATTTCAGCTGTCCAGAAGGACACGATGAGTGAGCCATATATCAGTGAGGCGGCATTTACGCCTCATTGGGACAGCTTGTCACTAATCGGTGCAACAGCCTTGCAACATAAATCTCCCTTTTTGTTTTTATGTTGGAATTTTGTTTGCTCCCACCCACTCCAAATGGTTTAGCTGAACAGAGATGCATCAGGCATGTTGTGTGACCTTGATGAAGCTAGTGGTATAAATGTGGATGAGGAGAATGTGTCGAAGCTGCTCATGGTGAGAGTGACTGAATACACATAAGCAAATTGTAATAAAGTTATGCAATTAAAAATGAAGCGCAATATTTGTGCTTCTCCAAATATAAACAGGTGGAACAGAAGAATGTCTGTTACTACTGAGTGCACAGTCCTTTTTGAAGTGTGTGCCGTTCGTATTTGCTGTTTTACTGCTGGATGCACTGTACATATAGTGTACATACTGTATGTGTTTCATGTGTAGCCGGCAGTTCCCTCATTGTGTACTATTTGTCGGAGTGTTGGACACAGTATTCTCCAAGGTGTTTCTGTGAGCTCCTCTGTGTGCTTTTTGTTCACCAAGCTCTTCCAATGCACAAGTGAACACGCGGCTGTTATAGACATGAGCATGAACTTCGCTACGCGCTGCACACTCTGTGCCACTGAATCGAGTCACCAGATTGGTGCGTCTCTAAAATAAAACATGGAAGCACATTGTATGTAAACTTGCTTTCATAAGTTCTTAGGAGATGAAAGATGTTGCAGATCTCACAGCTTTAACATTCACATGTGGGATAAACGAGTGCCTGCATTGTTTTTAATATCAGATACACAACTATTCTTAACACATAAAACTACACTGAGACTAAAGAAGGTTTTCTAGGGCGTTGTAACCCACATACACTGCATGCTGTTATTTTGGCTTTGAGATTTGATGACTTAAAATGAATGAACTGTATATGTTTTTACATTCCATTAGGTTAGTAATGATGTTTATTTGTTCATAGCTCCTTGTTGCTTTGTAGTTTGCTCACTGCTTTCTCTTCTTCCTCAGATTGTGTACGCCGCTGTAGACTGTACAAAAGGACAGAACCATGAGCTGTGCAAGCAGGAAGGGGTGGAGGGTTACCCGACATTCAATTACTACAACTACGGCAAATTTGTAGAAAAATATAATGGAGACCGTGGGGTAATTTACACTACATCTCTCACTTACTTATGTCATTTACTGACCCTGAACATGCAGTGAATGTTTAACCACCTTATCTGCTTAGGCAGTAAAGCAAGCTGGTTTTATTGGTCTCATCTAAAGCTTACAACTGGTTTACGCATGTTAAATACACAAGCTTGCCATTAATGATGCTGAGAGAACTGAACTTTTCCAGACTCTTAGGCCTGGATGAGTACTTTCAAGGAACACATTTGCTATATGGGTACTCCAGTATTACCTAGTCTACTGTGGCATATGAACACCTTACCCAGGTTTTTGATTACTACCCAACAAGTGCACAGGTATGTTCTCCAATCGAGCTACATTGTTGAACAACAACATACGATCACAGTGAAATAAAACGGCAGCAGTGTCCAGGCAGAAACTACTGAGAGAACTGAGGACACAACCTGGATGTTACTAAAAGCATCTATTTGAAGAACCAGGGTTGTAAAGATTTGACACAGATGTCATATCCCAAAACCAAATCAGAATCAGGCGACACAGACCGACTGTGGACTTGGTAACATTTGAATATTTGGATTCTGTTTTGTCGAGCCCAGTTGACATCTTGTTTAACAACAACACTCTGATTCCTGTTGGATTAAAAAAAACACATTCAAGCTTGATAAATCATTTCAAGGTACGAAATAATCACTAAAGCTTTAATTATCGCTCTCTCCACAGGAGGTGGGGTTCACAGGTTTCATGCGCGGCCTAAGAGAACGTGACCAAGAAAAGGTTGGGAAGAGGAAGGAGGAGCTCTGAGGGCAGTGGGCAGGTTGCACTGCAGTTTGTCATTGCACTGTGACCCTTGACCCTGGAAAGGGCCATATCAGCACTGACATGGGAGACTTGACCTCAGCGAATGGAAATATTTTTATACCACGGTGATCACATTTGTAATAATACCAACAGAGTACCTACAGTCAGACCGACCACTTGAGACTTCTTTTTTCACAGATTTCCTGATGGGCAGAGAAAACCAGACAAAAAGGTGATTTTTTTTTTTTTTTTCTTGCCCAAACACTGTGACTGCATATGTGAAAAGCTATACCCCGTTACTGTATCTATGCAATACTGACCCCTGTGTGACTGACGGACAGCCATGGTGGTGGTTTTCATTTGTGAAAGATGGACGCTGCACCACCTGGCACTGCATTGGGGCCCTAATCCAGTCCCTTCAGCCCTGCTCTGTCTCTGGAAGAGACACATGCTGATTGTTGACACATACGTGTTGTTTTCAGTATTTTTGTACAGAATCTTTATGTCGTAGGTCCGGAACCATCCAGAATATTGTTTAGTTATCTTCACAGATCAGTTGAACGATAACTACATTTAACACGATCATCTAAAAATGCCCAAAACTTGTACAGCAAAATGTGCTGATGTCGGTAATCAAGTATTATAGGTGAAATTGTAGCCAAAGGTGCAATATTCTGTATGGTTCCAGGCTTTCACAGTTTTAGAAATGACTTATACATTTGTGTTTGCTCAGACCTGTGGCCTTAAAGATGTTTAAAACATAGGTGGAACTGCAGAAACAGAAAATGATAAGAGGAAGGGAATCAGAGGCCTGGTGCTCCAGCAGTTCCCTCAAGTAAACAAGTCAAAGAAGAAGAAAACAAACAACACAAAATACCAAATATTGCTCCGCATTGCCCTTGACATTTTCATGCTTCATACATTTCCAGACATTAACATTCACAGCTGCAGTGATGTTTTACATCTTGTACATCCGCTGTTATTCATTCATCAGGGTTCATTAGTGATGTAACAAAGGTAGGGCTCATTTACATAAGCACGGGAGAAGTTCAAGTACGGTGGCTAAATATTGTATGTTCTAAATCAAATCAAATCAAATTTTATTGTATAGCGCCAAATCACAACCAAAGTCATTTCAGGACACTTTACAAACTAAGGTCTAGACCTTACTGTTATCAATATTATTACATAGGGAAAACCCAACAAATCCCCCTTGAGCAGCACTAGAGCTCCAGGGCCAGGGCAACCTGCAGAAAGGTACAGGGAGAGAGAGAGGACACACTACGGGAGAGAGGAGACACTATGGGAGGGAGAGAGGACACACTACGGGAGAGAGGAGACACTATGAGAGAGAGAGAGGACACACTACGGGAAAGAGGAGACACAAAGTTAGTAATGTGTAATGGTGGCATATAGAAGCATAGGGAGAGAGAGGAGAGGAGAGGGGAGGAGAGGAGAGGAGAGGGGAAAGAAACTCAGAGCATCATGGGCCCCCCAGCAGCCTAGGCCTATAGCAGCATAACTAAGGGAAGGCTCAGGGTCACCCAAGCACAATGACTTCAGTTTTGTCAGAGTTTAGAAGTAAGAAGTTACAGGTCATCCAGGCCTTTATGTCTTGATCTTAAAATCTCCAAAACATGAATCTTCCACTAAAGAATCCCACTGTTCGCCTTGTTTAGGGAGATGCTGGAATAGTCCAGTCTTTTAAGGGTATTCCCACGTTTCCACCACAAACAAAAACCAGTCAGCACTGGTCAGTTTTATCTTGGTGTGTATCTGCTCCCCATGCCTTGGCCTCACTTAGCGCGGACACGGTTCTTCCATGCCTTCCATTATTCTTTCAGCATAATATCATCTTTGATTCTGGGCCATATCATGACCTCTGTGGCATTTTTTAATACTATGTTTTCAACTCCCATTCCTCAGCTGCCATAAACACATAAAGGCTCATCTGTAGCTGAATTTGTTTGATCATTCAAGACTTTATGAATATGGTTCTCAGGGATAGTGAAACACAATTAAAGGGAACTAGCTTGTTTGTAATTTTGCATTCCAGCTGAATAATTTTGAGCTCTTATGTCACCAAAATAAATAGTTTACATTTGTATTCCAAGAAAAAAAAAGATGAAATGGTCCTTTTTCTGTGCTATATCATGACAACGTGTATTGAATAAGATGCATTGTCAGTAGACGATACTGACTGTTTCTCACCAGATGCACTGTGGCTCTTACTTCTAAGTGAGACCGTATCAGAGGTTCTGGCTGGCACCAAACACTTTATCTTCAGTATGACCATTAATATTTTTTGGTATGCAAGAGCAGTTTGAAAGAGAGTTTTATACTGTCAGGTGTTGACATATGGCTGTAATTAGGTGTTCATCCTCCTCTCGGGGGAAACTATCACTGCTGATTGCTGTATCCATTCGTTTTCTTTAGATGCCTCCACAAGGACATCACACATTTGTCGACTAATAGAAAGACTACATCTGTCTTATCAAAACGTATTGATATTGTGTGGGAATTTGTCATAAAAGAAGTCATTGTTGTCTTTGTTGATTTTTCTGTGCCCGGTCATATGTACAGTTTCCCCCTACAAATTAGGACCTCGTGATACAAAACAGAATAAAGTCAAACATTTTCAAAAGTATTTTTCACTTGTTTTTATACAATTTAGCATTTCTGCTTTTTTTTTTTTTTTTAAATCCCATTAGGGGATGTGGCTCTAGGGACGGGTCGTCAGCTGGTCCACCACTGTGATGCATTGCCATATAATTTGCTACACACGTTTATGTCCCCCATAGGACGAATTGTGACCAAAACTGCAAAGCTCTTGAGTTTCCTATCAGTCTTGACTATTCTGTTTCATGCTAACAAAATGTTGTACAGTTAGTGACCCGTCCTTCTGAGGGGGACACGTGGACCCAAACCATCCCAGAATTTGCATTCATTATGTTTCTCCACTTATTTGTTCAGGATTATCCTTTAATTTGTTACCCGCCTGTATACTGGTATTACCAGCTGAACAGAAACATGTTGACATGCTGATGTCAGCTTTTAGCTCAAAGCAGCGCTGTGCTGGTACAGATCAGCTAACATGGCTGACAGCTCCGGTCTTTTTCATTTAATAGGGAATTAATAGGCAATCAAACTTTGTGGTATTCTGAACGACACGCTTCCTGTGTTGAAAGCTGGCAAAATTCACAACAACAAGAAGAAGAAGCAGACATTCTAGACACGTTATGTTCATTTGTTTTCTGCCACTGGTGACTGCCAAGAGTGGGAGGACATGTTTGAAGCTAGGTAGTGTGAGTTGTCTCAGGGTTGGCACTTTAGTCTACGTGTCCTTGGGCAAGACACTGGCCCCCAAGTTGCTCCTGGTTGCCTTGTATCCGTGTGTGTGAATGGGCAAATACTGTAAAGCACTTTGAGTGCTGTAGTAGAAAAGTACAGTCCATTTACCATTTACAAAAGTACTAGGCAAGACAAGTTTATTTATATAGCACGTTTTCATACACAGAGGCAATTCAGAGTGCTTAGAACGATGCACACAGGTAGACAAAACATTAAAATGCATATATAGATGAACAATAAAAATTAGATTAAAACATAAATGCTAAGTAAATAACAAATCATGGGTAAGCAAAATTAAAAGCAGAGGGCATGTTTGGGTGGAATTAAGATCCATGAATTAAAAGCAGTGGAAAAAAGAAGAGTCTTTACCTTAGTCTTAAAAGTGGCTCCAGTTAAGGCAGATCTAAGTTCTAATCGAATTGGTTCCAGCCGTGGTCAGCATCATAGCTAAAAGCACTTTCGAACTCGGGGCACAAGTAACTGACTGGTCCCTGCAGATCTGAGACACCAATCAGGCTTGTACTCGGCTAAGATATCTCTGATGGGCCTAGACCTCTGACAGATTTGTAGACAATAAGGCCTTAAATTGAATTCTGTATTTGAATGGAAGCCAGTGCAAAGATCTAAGGACTGGAGTAATGTGTTCTCTTTTCTTGGTGTTTGTCAGTATTCTGGCAGCAGCATTTTGAATGGGTTGCACTGTCTAATGGTCTTACTGGGGAAGCCAATCAGGAGTGCATTACAGTAGGCTACACTGTTGGCACAATAAAATAAACAGAAGTTGACCTTGTTGGGTTGCTGGACCGATGGTAGATGCAGCTTCTGCCCATTTATTTTGGCATCCTTCTCAGTTCTACATCTCAGAAATAAATGGCCCACAAGACACACTCTGACATTGATGGCTTTATAATGACAAATGCCTAGAAAATAGCCCTGGACCTAAAAGTGACCACGGTAAAACTTGTCAGAGCTTCACTGCCTGAACTTCTGCATTTCTAAGATGCCAGGTATGTCAGGTACTATGAGTTAAAAAAAACTTGTAGGGCTGAGGTATGTGTGGAGGCTTGGTCTAAGATGAGGAGTGACTGAGACTTCGTCTTTGCAGTCTACATGTCTGCTTAGATAAAGCACTGTTGTTGGGATGCATGCAGTGTTGAGTTGAGCCGGAACAGGCTGATTAATGCATGCAGAGGCAGAAAGACCCTCCTAAACCCAATTTCACTTTAAAGGATTTTAAAAGGGGCGGAGAATTTTTATGCCTGGGGGCTTTGTTTCATTACTGGGTTTTCTTGGAGGGGAGTGACGAGCATTTTAACCTGTGGAAAATGTGCATAAGAAAAGAAGGGCAGAGGGTTGTTAATACTAAGTCAGGGATCTGCTCATTCATTTGCCCGTAACAGAAGCCATTTACCTTTTGAATAATTGTGTTTTGGGCTGTTCAAGATTTTAGTCAGTCTATACTCTGTCTTCATTTACCTGCCTGTCCTCTGTCTCAACTCTGCATCCCTGCCTCAGCATTATGTTATTTTTATTCTTATTTTTCAGATGCACTGAATCTCTTCTTGTTGATTTAGTTGATCTTTTCTAGTTCTATCCTGTTGCTATTCAATATGCTGACATTGGAACAAATCTGTTCAAACACCAGAAGTCACTGAAACAAACAGACCTTGGAGTAAAGACTTTCTTCAGCTTGTTTCTTACAAGGCAGTAATCAAGAATCATCTGTTCACTCTCTCTGCAGTTTAAAAGAGCTGTCAGTAAATACTGTCAAGAACATTATCTTGTTTGTGATATTTTTGTAATTAAAATTGGTAAATTATAGTTCAGAAAATTCATCAGCCCTTAAAATGTCAAATGGTGTGTTTCTTTTTTTTCCACGTTCCCCCAGAGTCACCGAAGATGATATTGTTATTATTGTTTTCACAGGCTGAGTCACGCTCCCCTCAACTACTAAACGGAGTTCTATTCGTAAGCACTGTCTGACTTTTAACAAATATCAGATCAATGTGCTTTGAATGGCAGTGTCTGTCAGTTTTCTGTTTGGCTGTCCTTCTGGTCCAGAGATATGTGAACAGTTAGCAGACACACTGGCATGAAATTTGGTGGATGATTCCTGGCATTTCACAGGGAATGCATTTTAGACTTTAATGTCAGAATGGCATTTAGCACCATATTAAGGTCAAACTTTACTTTTAGCAGCAGTGGGTGTATGTTGGCCGATCACTCATTTTGTTTTGGGAGGTGTAATAAATGAATCATCTTGGTTCTCACCCAAGACACAAATACATTTCATGAATTTCTTGGAAAAATTGTCAAAAACCCACAGTTGGACTAAGAGATAACTGCACATATATTTTTAGATATGTCATAATTCTCAAGAATTCCTGAGCTTTTAATTTGAAATGTGTAATGATGACATCCTGGGAAAGAGACATTTTGTGCTGATGCATTTAAATGCTGATGTGTTTGCACCTCTGTTTAGACTCTGCCACTGTGAATGACGACACTGCCTTCCTCACACCTGACATTCTGTGCACTAAACACTCCCTGAGACCTGTGGCTATTCATCAAGTTGTCAGCAGCAGCAGAAATCCATCATTCACTTTCACTGGATGCCTATCTGTCTCTCTCTCTCTCTCTCTCCCTCTCTCTCTCACACACACACACGTCGTGACGATATTGAGAAGGTCTCTTCAGGCTGACACATTGCTGTGGCACTGGGGATATTGCATGTGTATGTGTGAAGGATGAGGCCACTATGGATCCCTTTATTATTTTCATTGTATTTTTGTCCATACTCTAACAGGAAATGTATAAAAATAGATGAAAATACTGCTACCAGTGAATGGCCTATTTTAGGTGTGCTTGGCGGGCTCTGAGTATGCTTTATTCATTATTCATTTTATTTTAACATTAAAAAGATTTCAGAAGATTCTTGAAACTAAGGCTCAGAGGAAGCCAGTGTACCTGGAGAAAACCTGTGCTGGTATGGGGAGAACATTCAAACTCCTCACAGAAATTCCCAGGTCAGCTACAGTGTTCAAACCCTGTGAAGTGACAGTGCTATCCACTTTACCACTGGCCCCAAATCATAATAAAAATTAAATTTATGAATATAGATGCACACCATTTACTGCATGTCTATAGTATAAATAATGAATGATTTAACTATTCCCATGATTTTCAATTCATAACAACTGCGTGTAACCTAATCAAGATTGTATTACTCCAAAGAATAATCAAAGATCAATCATGGTTACATAACAAATGATAGCTACAAATAATACTAAAAAAAAAATTGGCTATATGGTTTTCTTATTTTTAAAGTTCATAATAAGAAAGTTATACTTGGTTTAAATTAAAAACTCCTGGCACTGTAAATGCACCCCACAAATACAATAAATTGACCTAACAACTGATGTTAATGTGGTCAGTCTAAAATAAATAAATAAAATAAATACCAAAAATATATATAATCACGTTAGAGCATTGAGACAATGAGTCACAAGTTATGTGAATGAGTGCAAAAATAAAATGACAAGTATAAACAAATGAAAAATTGACTGCAGAAGAAGCATTGTCGGGGAAAGTAGGCTAACTATTATGGAATAAGAAAGGCACTTTCGGCTTTTCCCGGTTTTGGGGGTCGCCACAGCGAACCGTCACACTGACGACTCGCATGTTAGGGAGTAATTTCGAAATAGTCATTTTAATGTCATACGCTGAAGAGAATTCAAACTGTTGCTGATTTACTCCAACAAAACATCGTTTTGTTGTTTTCTATGATGCTGATGAGAGGCTGTTTTTACCCACAATGCACAGCGAAACAGCCACGTAAACATAAAGGATCATCACTACCGTCTGTAGCGTGCTAGCTGCGTCTGCGCTCATTACTGTTACTTATAGGCAGAATATCAGAGATGTCCACATGATGCTTGTACACTCAGTGGCCAGGTATTAAATACCCAACTATTTCACTTTGTCAGAGGTATGTCTTGTTCGGGTTTGCTTTTAACATTGCCCTGAGTTGCAAAGTATGTAAAGTAGCTAGTTATTAGCTCCATACCCTGCTAATAACGTTGGCAAGAAGGAAATGGCTGGTGATCATGCTAATTTGGATAGCTGCTAACGGTGGTTAGCTAGCTAATCACCTCTAGTTAGTTTAGCTAGTTAGCTAGTGTTCATTCAATGTAAGTTGTCTGCTCACATTACAGAGAAACCTTTAAAAACACAAAACTTGTGAATTCGCCAAGCGTTCAGCTGAATATTATGTTGACAGATAAATAAAGCTAGCTCTAATCATTGAGCGCCTGTTAGCCTAGCTAGCTAACATTAGCCTAGGTAGCTAACATGAACGTATGTCCTCTGACAAACCGCCGCCTGGTCCTTTAGTTAGCGTTATTTAAACCAGGTCGTACTGTTGAACTCTTGAGTTTGCCATGAAATGATCACGTTTTGCCAGCGCAGGTGTCTTGAACACAACATAATTCCTCCAAACGTTTCCTCACAGCGCCCGTTCATGTAGACTGTGGCGCTGTCCATGGTTCTAACATGACTGACAGATTTGGTTAATTACAATAATTAGAGCAGGCAGTTTTAATTTGGGGAGCGAAGTTGATAAAACCCAGAAACCCAGGCTCACGAATGCATAATTGATTACTACAACATCTGCAGTTAATATTAATTTAAAGAGTAATACGTAGATTTTTAGTAAATCAGGGTAGTGACACATCTGCTAACTAAAACAAACAAAAAAGCAAAAATAAATAGCCTGATACTTTTAGTATACCGTTTTTGTTCTATAAGAACATCCACACCCTTCCTTTGTCCTGTTGCTGTTTTGGTATCTAGTATAGGATTGATCTCACATATTTCATTACATAACAGGTTTCTTCATTCTTTCTCAGAGCTCAGACACCAAATGAAACATATTTGTCCCCTTAATTATGTTTTGATCTGTTCTTGGTTTGTTTGGGTTTGGAGTAATACCTGGTTTTGGACGACCTACATCTCACTCACAGTCACAATGCAGCGAGGTTACAGCCAGGTCGCTTGATGAAATTGGTCATTGAGGAGATAGGCAGGCAAGCAAAGCACATGAAAGGGACCAATAGGGAAAAGGTCTGGGAAACACACATTATAATCAGTATAATCTGGCCAAGCTGGGTCATATTGGTTTGAATAGCATTATATGCTCTTAAGCAACAGTTATTTTGTTATTGATTAATCTATTACTTAAGTAAATGATTAGTGTTTTATTAGGTTAATTGTCTGTTAATTGGCTGTTTGCAGGCCTTTGGTGAGATTTCCAGAGCTGTAAGATGTCAGTGGTCCTGTTTGCCTCTGTGGTTCGGGTTGGGGACGGCTTGCCTCTGTCTGCATCCACTGATTATGAACAGGACAAAGATCTTCAGGAGACCAAGAGGCACCTTAAAGGTCTCTCCAAGAAGCTCGGCCAGTTCCCTGACCGCTGTACACTTAAGACTGGGCTCTACAATGTCAAGTAGGTATTACTGGGTGCTGATTTAAATTCCTGATGTTTGGCAATTTTAAAGGGACCCTTAATGTAAAATGACATAAATTAAACAGGCATGTCTGATTATGATGCTCTGGCAAATGTGGGTCACTGTCAGCATTCTCCAGATTAAACCATCATATATAGTTGCACATAACATGGAACATTTGAATGTATCTGACTTGTAATGCATCTGTGTAATATATTTTCAATGCAAGGTATAAAATACAGATGTAGCTCATTTTTCTGCATCTTCATTCACAGTGGCCCATGGGTGATTAAATAATTCACTGCTGACAGTTTTCCTACTCTTCTTCTTGACCCCTCTAACATAATTCTGATTGAAAAACACTTTCAATTTGATTGATTTGACAGCTAGGCTTTCATTTGAGGTGTCAGGCCCCACTGGTGCTTAGAGAGATGCTTTGAAACTCTCTCCAGTGTGGTTTGTTAGGAGCTCATTAGTCTTATTAAGACAGACCTCTAAATCAGCCATCACTGAGCCATTTTTACCTGTCAACAACCAGAGGCTCCATTGATTTGAGTCTCTTTAATCAATGAGAGCTTGAAGCATGTGAAGACAGTGAAGGTCAGAATGAGGCAGGCAGGGTTTAAAGTTAATTTGCTCAATGATGCTGTGAGGCTGTAGCTTAATCTGATATAGTGTTGTATATGTAAATGTTTGAGCACTGATGTGCAAATTCCATATTTAGTTAATATTTGGAGTAAAAAGAAATAAATGCAACCCCTGCAATAAGCAGACATTAAAATGAGCTGTTCTTCGTATGTCATTGTGCTGTTACCTTTCATTTCCAAAACAGAAAACATAAATAGTAATTGTGGCATGTGCAAACATTAGGTCAACTTATTAGGTCAGTATTCTGTTACCCCCATCTTTGGCAGATATCACAGCTTATAAACACTTCCTGTACCCATTTACTGATCACTTGAAGTTTTTAAGCTGTCTTGGCACATGTTGAAGATGCCAACGGCTGTCGAGGATTACAGGGGTTGTACTTCCTTCTTTTCACTCAGAATTCACCAAAACATCATTTTGCCTGGGGGTGCTTGTATGTCTGCATGCAGCTGTATAAATTTGTGCCTTGAAAGCAGCAGGAGATTTCTGGTCTGCATGAAAATTACTCCCCACTGGTAAATTACAGTTTCACAAACTGATTCTGAACAGTTTCAGCTTTGATCATTTTAAGCCCAGTATATTTGACCTATTACAGTATATGGGGCTTTAGAATATACTGTATCTGACAGCATTTAGGGAATGTGCAGTGCAAGTTCTGGAGCTCAAGCTAGTACTAGCATGAGACTTGAAAGCCTATAGGACCACTCTGCTCCTCCCTGCTTCTTCCTGCTCTTTACACTCTGCCCATCCCCTCATCCACATCTTTGTTATGTCTCAGCTAATGCAGAAATCTGGAGTCGGTTATAGCAGTGTCTTCCAGCAGCTAATACTAGCTTGAAGCCTGGGAGTAGTTGACACATGCTCACATATTGATTGACGGCTGTGGGCTCCTATCCCCTGACTTTGGCCTTTTCTGATGGGAGAGGCTTGCTCAGAATTCTTGGAAGGTGATATCTGCACTGTTATTAGGCTGTTCATTCAATCTGGATCACAGAGGTCTCTGACAACACCTCTCCACATCAGACAAAATATGAAAATATTATCGGGGTTATTGGTCATTTTAAAATGAATTCACTTTGGACTCTTTAAATCTTCTGTTTCTCCTATGTTTTATTGTGAAGTGCTTTGTGATGCCTGCTTTACATTATAAATGAACTTTACTTGCTCTGGTTATAATATTCATACTCTAGCATCAGGTGTTTCTATTCAGTGTGTTGACATTTATGTTCTGCATCTATTTATATGTTGTGATATCTGCTGATCACTTGAGATATTCAGATAATGAAGTCTTTCTGTCTGGGGAATTAAATTTGTGGCCATTGTGTATCAATTATCACTGCAAGGCCAAAAAAGAAAGAGAGTATCCCAAGGTGCATTTGAATGAGTATTGTGTTAAATTAGCCGTGCATATGTGAATTTTAGCCACAAATGTGAAACAATTGTGCTTTTTAGAGCAGCAACCAGAATCAGAAGTGACATTTTGTTTTTCCCAGTAACCCGCACTTTATTTCACTTGGTGTCCTAATTAGAGTTTTCCCAGATTTCTGTCAAGTGAAGTGCATGAAAAGCAGTGTTTGTGCATGTGTTTCAGTTTCACAAGCTCACTGGGTGTTGGATACCTGATGGTGTGCTCCGCAAACTACCCCAGTGTGCTGGCCTTCTGCTTCCTGGATGAGCTACAGAAGGAATTTATTGTCACCTATGACACTAAACGAATCAACAGCGCCGTGCGGCCTTACTCATTCATTGAATTTGGTGAGCTATGTGATGTCAGTGTGTGATGTGATGCTTTTTTCAAAAACCGATGGTGACTTTTCATACGTACTAGGGGAAAATGAGGTGTACCGATTCATGTTTAAGCTTGTTTTAATTGGACACATAGCTACTGGTGCTTTTATAGATTGAACAACCTGCCCTGGCTTATTTCCCTGTTATCATTAAAATGCTTCATATTTCCTCTTCCCCTGTGTTTGAAAAAACTGAGCACAACAAAAGGTTTTCTGGTGAAATGGCAGAAAAACAACTGTACTATATGTAAAAAAAAAAACAAAAGGGTTTGGGGAAAGTGGTTGCATCAGAAATAAGTAACCAACATTTGATCACACCATTACATCCTAGTAATAGTACATCCCAACCTTACGGTGTATCCTGAGTAAAGCTGTGTGATTATTGCCATTCTTGGTTATTCAGTTTAATAATTTTGTGATTTGTTTTAGTTGTTTGGTCAATAAAATGTCTGGAAGGCATCCATCACAAGATCACATGTTAGTGAATGTCAGACAGTGGTAAAATAGTTTTGAAGTCTAGAACCCAAAGATATTCAATTTATAATGATATAAAAACAACAAATTGTCACATTTGCAAATCAATAACCACAGAATGTTTGGCATATATTCCTTATACTGTGTTGTAAATGGCTCTAACAACAAATGAATTGACAGACTGTCCTGCTCTCACATTTAGTTGATCTCCCTTGTTTTGCTGTCTGTCATTAGCCACCTTGTTGTTTTGCTGACTGTTCCCCATCAGATACGTTCATCCAGAAGACCAAACAGCGTTACAACAGTCCTCGTTCCCTGTCCACCAAGATCAACCTGGCTGACATGCAGACAGAGATCAAGCTGCGACCACCCTATCAGCTGTCCCATCAGGACCTACAGGCTGTCAATGGATTTTCTGTGCATACACCCTTGAAGTACAAGGGCATAGGTAGGACATGAGATGCTACTGCAAACATCCATACAGTACGTACAGTATACACCCCCCATACATACCTCATCCAAGTATGAGAGTCTGGTGGTATTTTAGTACACTTACTACTCAAAGTGTTATCCTATCCTCCTGTCACTACTTGGTTTTTATCAACACTGGTAGTACTGGTCTTTGTAATACAGTGACATGGAAAGGTCACTGGTGATTTCCTGTATTTGAGCTGCTGGGTTTTAGACCAGCTCATGTTAAACCTGCATTTGCTTCCACATGTTACTGTATATTTAAAGGTGCAGTACCAAAACTTATCACACTGAAATGATCACTTAAAGTACAACATTAAAAAGTTGACTTGATGAACAAGATCATCGTTTACACTTAAGACTAAAAGAAATATTGACATTTATTTTTGCATTTTTATTAAAAATGGGTGTAAATTGTATTTCACAAAATAACATTTGCAGCACAGTTAGTTTTAATAATTGTTCTTTAGGGATAATTAGCTTCTAATTTTTTCACTTTGTTATGTGAAACGTTCTCTGAGCAGCCCTCACTGTGAGAGGGCATCGTTTACTTTAACCTGTAGTGAACCATGTATTTTACATCAGGAAACCTTTGGAATCATGGCACCATAAAAACCAGTTGAAACCAGTTTAGCTTCTTTTATGAAATCCAAATGGTTTTCAATAAAAACTGTAGAAACATAAATGTAATGAGAGAAACAGAGAAAAACAATGAGTCTCTAGGGTAGTGTGTGCCTAGTAGTCGGATGTACCTTGGCTCGGTTAACCTGTTACACTACTGCTCTGTGGCTCAGGCCCCACACAGTAAACAACCCTCTGGTACGCACAGTCACACCTCAGCTGCCCCAGGCTAAGCGATGCTGCTTCGGGTCACTTAGAGCTTTTTGTGCTCTGCCTGACATCCTCTTCAGGGCAGCTCACTTCGCTTTGTTCACCCTCTGTTGGTTGCCCTTGCCAGTCTCTGTTTTCTGAGAGCATAAATCATTTTGTCCTGGGGGATGAAGTATGCTAACCTGATAATAGTGATTCATGGCTCCTTTTACCTTGCCAGAATATTCTGGATGTCAGAGATTTAAAAATGTATGCTGGGCATGTCTATCTATCCTGATATCCTGCACATAGTAGCAGATTTATTTTTTTTATTTTTATGCTTTTGCCAAGGCAACTATAACTAAGTCTGTAATACTGTGTCCTTTTCCAGCTCCCACACAGATGTTGGAGCCAGTGACTCTCCCAGGCATCGTGTCCTGTGTGCTCAGTGTCCTCTGTGGAGGACTTAACCTGCTCCGAGGAGTCCACGCTATTGAGAGTATAATACAGGTGAGGATATAGAAGAGATGGCATTCAAACAGATTCATTGTCTCTCAAAGGGGAAGAGTCTGTTTACCTACTTATGGATGGCTGTCATATTTGTAACAACAAACTTAAGCTACTTCATTAGATCTGGGACAGCAACCAAACAGTTGTAATGTGCACTGAGTGATTACTGGCATTATGTGTGCACTCACTGTATTTAGTTTTCAAGATAGTGTTTTAGATTAGTCAGACAACTAGTCAGATTCTTGGGTTTCCTGCCCATCAGACTTTGTCAACTGTGTTATCATATAGTGTCGAACAGTGGTGTCATCACCAACAAAACCAATGCCAAATACCTGAATCTGAGTTTTCCCTTCACAAAGGTTTGTAGAATTCATTAAACCAAAGCACGTAAGCTTGTCAGTTTGCTGTATGCTGTGCATTCTGTTCTTGAAACTGTCAGATGTGACCTTAATATATATTCTGTTAAGATACTAAAGAGACAACAATGAAATATAGGAACCTCTGAATTGTCTTGTATTGGTTTCATGTTGCTTTGTCTAGACACTGACAGGTGCTAAACATTAAAGTCTATATCACAATATTGAACTGTATTTTTACAGTAACGATATAAATGAAGATATGGGATTAGTACTATTCAGCAATATCTTTTTGACCACAAGCTGTGCAAACAGCTATGCATAAAGTAAAACCTGAGACTGACCATCATCAAATACTAAACACTAAAGTACACAAATTAATGAGACTAAAAAAGAACATGAGCTTTAATCACAAATCCCTACTTGTAAACAGTCTGGGCTGGCATCATATCTTTGGCTCAGCAAAATGCCACCTCATCTGTCAGTGTGTTCCAGTGTTTACCTTTTTTATCTCTGGCCAACATGTTGACAGTAGCTTCTGAATCAAAGAAGTTTGCTTACTTGTCAGTCAAACATCTGTTTTCTTCTGTCACTTCTGGCTTTCCTTGTGTTCTGGCCAGTGTTTTTGCTTGAGGTGGTGGAACAAACTCAGTACGTTTCCACCCTTTGTAGAAGGTTCTGACCTAACAAACACAAATGTTTGATTTATGTGTGATCTCTTGAGGCCAAACCACTTCTAAATGACAGAGGAAGCTTGTTTTTCAGAATGAATTATTCTAAAGGGCAAGCTCCCCCCTTCCACCATACTTGCTGTGTTTGTAAGTGCTCACGAGATACCGCGTTGCAGCACGTATACTGACATCATCACGCGTATCGTCACTATTGTGATATGACAGATTCTTTTCATGGGTCATGGGGAGAGATTATACTAGTATATTATGGACAACGCAGTATGGCACAGCCCTCGTGCTAAAAATCAACATTTTCTCTGTGCCTTTTGTTCCTGTCTGCAGAGTGACGAAGACTTTAATTATGTGATCGCCTTCTTCCTTGGGACAGCAGCCTGTCTGTATCAGGTAAGTGATAGTCTGGTAAAAGCAGCCCATCACTGGCTCACTGGCTGACTAACAGACCTGCACTTTACAGCCCAGCAGCCTGTCAGCTAGACTAACATTAACAAAAGCTCAGTGTCTTCCCCCCCCCCACTACCTTTTCTAAAACGTGTTCATCAGCTCCTTTTGTGCGGTTCCTGGTACTGAATGGAGCATCACAAATTGGTAGAGTGATGGGGGAACACAGTTATCAGATAGGTTTCTGTTTCACTGAAAAGACTTATTGTCCTGTGAAGAACATTAATGATGAAAACATGCAGTCACTGTCAGTCACATGAGTGCACCACTCAAGTTCTTCCCTGCCATTTTCTTTTCAGTGCTACCTGTTTGCTTACTTCTCTGTCTGGAGGAACAGTAAGTCCTTCTTGGCGTTTGCACTTATCTGTTTGTCCAACATGTATTTGTATGAACTGAGGAACATGTGGCAGATCCTCTTCCATGTGGCGGTGGGGGCCTTCATGACCCTGCAGATCAGACTGAGGCAACCTCTGGGCAAAGCACCAGACTATAATGTCTGACAAATACTTGAAACAAGACGGACAAACAAATCTTCCATCAGATGTCTCATGTATGCCCTGGCAATGTACCAGAGGCAGCATTGACCAGTCTGAGGATAAAGTGTGGGAAAAATCCCAGTTCAGGATGAAAAACCAAAAAAAATCACGGGGCACCACAGGAGTTGCGTTCACTCGCTCCCAGCACCAGAGGACAGATCCCAGTGTGGACTTGGAGGAAACTTTGGAACCACCTGAATTCTTCATGGATCTTACTGGACTGAACTGGGGTGTTGTCTACTCTCACCATTGGCTGATAAAGTTATTTTTATCCACTTTCATTGAATTTTATTGCAGCCCAGTTTTGCAGTTCTGTAGTTTCCCTGCATCTGCAGAATTAAAGGTTTAGAATTAACCTGTCATATATAATCTGCAACCAGATGTTTTCAACTCTCAAGTTGTTCTTAGGACTAGCAACAAAAAGATTGGACTTTTTAAAATATCTTTCTTTTAGGAATGTACATTTTTTATTTAAGAATTGAAGCAAAACATAATTAGGCAGCCAAACACACCTAAAATGAGCAAAATTCTGATTTAAATCAGGAAATGTCAAAGCACAAGTAACCAAGTCTAAAGATGTGATGTCACAGAGCATCAGGTCAAATGATCCTTCTAACTCCTCCTAACTTGTGCAGGTGTTTTGAAGGACGTCAGATGCAGTGTGTTGCCTGACAGAATGTGGTGAGACATTTCATGACAGCACTCAGTATTTAACAGTTTCTGAATCTCGAGCTATGGACACATTTCTGATATTTACCATAATTGTTTCATTGAACTCGGCTAAAAACCCAAAAGGTCTTAAATGACTTATTTAAATGAAATATTTGGCCTCATAAAATTGATGAACATAAAAAGACTACAGGACTGTTCAGCTGTTGTGTTTTTCCATCTCTTCTGTTTTATTCTTGTTCGGTTTCCACCCGTTGCATGCACTTTATGCACCAGTACCCACGGGTACCCGACCCAGTGCAGGACTCTCATTAGGTCTTGGTTTAAAAATATGCAGTGTTACCTTGTGTGTGGCCCTCTTAACAGTTTGTGTATTTTGTATTCAGGAGCCATTGATGACATCTGTGCAGATATTTGTCATTTTGTAGACAGTTTAATTTAGCTCTTTATTAACTGTTTGTTCAGTGACGTTAATAATGAAGCTTTTATACAGATTTCAGTCGTTTAATTTGTTCTTTTATGATTGCTTAATTCTTCTGCACAAGCTGATATGTAGCTGTCACAGAGTAACTTCTGCTCCAGTAGACACAAACGGTCTGTTAGCATTCATACCCTACTTCCTCGCCCACACAGGCTCAAGCATGTGCCAGTGTCAAGAGACTATGTTAATAAACAGGTCTGTGTTGGCAGCAGTAAAGATGCTGCCTGTGCTGTGGAGGCCAGAGGCAGCCCATATCATTTCAGTGGCCTCCGGCCTGCTTTTCCTCCCACTGAGCCCCTTCAGATATGGTTGTATCTATGTTTGCCTGTGTAATGGATATTAGCACAGTGTTCACATTTAACATAATTACAATCAGAAGATGCTGCATTCATCATTGTTAGACAGTGTGACATTTGTTCAGGGAATTATGGGAATATTTATTGGCTTCCTGCACCATCCCAACAAATAATAAACACATGGAGAAGAGTAGAGAATTGAGTCATGCCTTTATTGTTCTTTATGAGTAGCTCAACAATTGTCTCGATTGTCGCATCATCTTTAAATATTCTGCCTCAGTGGACGGAGTTAAAAGTGAACATTTAAAGGAGTATAACCACACAAGCTCTACTCCATGTCCATCTGGCACCTGCACTACAGATCTATCAGGGGACCTTATATGATTCATCACTGTGCTCTGAGTGTTGTCTGCTTTCCAACAGCAGTACCACACCTACATGATCTAATAGTTCTTTTCACAATATGGTGCAGACTAGTTAGGGTTTTGTTTCACTGGCTTTTATATCAGTTTTATCTAAGCGTGGAAAATAAATGCAGTCTTTTCCAGCTCTTTAAAACTTAGTAATGAACTGCTGACAGTGTGCCATGTGTGTTTTCACATCTTAATTTGTTTTATTTTAATGCCAATCAGAGGTTCCCAGTCATGATTAGTGTACAGAATTATATGAGCAGTTATAGCCAGTGTTAGATTTGGGAAAAGAATGGGTTTGATGGCAAATAGGAAATGGATTTGAAGCCCATCTGAGGCTGGAGTAATTGAATTTTGTCCATTTGCATCTCCTGCACGTGGGGACGCATTGATTTTCCATGGTGTGATCAGGTCCTCTTCAGTCCACTTAAAACATATCTACTCTTGTCTTAGGACTCGTTGACTCAGAGCTCAGCTGTAGAACTGAACATTTAAAAAGAGGCAGCATAGAAATTGAGCATAGTATTTTAATCCCAGGCTTGTTTGGGTTTAGTGAGATTCAGTGAGAGCTGTTGCTGTAATTATGCAAAAGATTAAGCAAAATCAAATAAGGATTTCAGGTCCATGTCCTTCATAATTTAAAGCTACAGTATGTAGTATTTCTCAGATATTCTTTTTAGTAGAAACATCCCCCAAAACCTATCTTAATGGGAAGAGCTGCTGTCAAGACCCATCAAACAGCCTGGCAGCAGGTTTTTGGCCAGAATAACACTCTTAACCAGTCAGAGAAGGCCACCATCACGGGTGGGAGCTCACAGCTGTCAGTCAATAATTGAAGGCACCTCAGTTCTACTGACAATTGTGCAGCCTAGTAAGCTACGTGAAAAATATCAAGAAAGGTTTTGAAGAGAAGGAAGAAAAGAAACCAACTGAGTTGGATTTAGATTATAAAGTTCTCTTGGTGTGGCTTTCAGCAGATGGAGAGAGTTGACAGAGAAGAGGGATTTACAGACAGACACTGATTTGGCATTCTTTCTGCTTGGCTGGTATGGTTTGAATTTCTTATTTATAGTAGTAAGTAAGGATCAAACCATCACCCTTTGTGCTTGTAGCTAAATCTTGCCAGAACATGTCATTTGCACTTCCAGTGTGACAAACCTAAGGATGTCAGTGTTGCTGCTTTCACTTATGATAATCAGCCAGTTACATCCAGGCAAGTTCATACACAAGCCACCGATCTGTCTGCCACAGGTGTCGAATCAATTTGGTGACTGGTGATTTCCATTATTTTGATAGGTGCTGTAGTGTGTAATGTGTTGTAGTCTCCACTAACTTGGCAACTTTAAGAAAAACATCCTCCTAACCTTCTAGCTTGGCGTCTCCAGCCTGTGATGAATGAGCGCTGGAGTTTCAACTGCTAAATGTAGTGAAACTGCTGAGTGTGGTCTTTTTTTTATCCCAGAAGCAACAGGTTGCCTTATGATTCAGAGGCAACCAAAGCACTTTTGGTTTTATCTTTTTATTTCAGCAGCAGTGGCACTACAGTTCTGATGATTGTCACTGATGCACTTTGTGGCCGCTTTAAGGAACAATTTCCTCAAGATAAGGAATAGGGATGGATTTTTTTTCTCCTGAGCAGGACGTATGTGGATTTTAATGACAGATGGTTGCTGCAGGTGTAAACTGTAGACTACTTGAAGCACAGTTTGAACTCCACATGTCAAAAGAGTGTCAGTAGTGTTTCTATGGCAAAGTCAGGAGCTCGCAGGTTGTTCAGAAAGGTCAAAATCTTTGGGTTTGAGGCTCGGGAGAATTTTATTTGCGCTAGCATGCGGCTGAGAAAAGAAAAAGTCAACACTAATGTCGTTGCTGCCTGTGCTACGGTGGCCCTTTTCCCATTAGTGACCATTCCTCAAATTCTCAACTCAAGTTTTATCTAAAGATACTTAATTTAAATTGAATGAAATTTAAATCACAGTCTAGCACTTCTACTAAAATGCATATCACAGTTATTGAAATAACTATTAATCAAGACCCTAATTTATTCTTGAGGTAATGGCTCAGGTAATTGATTTCTATATAAATATAGATATTTAAGCTGTAATGGATGAAGTAACACTCATGGTACTAATTAGCAAATGATCACTTTCCTTCCATCTCTGCCATCATGTAGAACCAGTAGTCATAAGTCAATAGACAAAGGAACCACATATAACCAAAGTGATGTGGTCCTGCTGCCATCTGTTGGTGAGCCACATGAGCAAACGAGCACAATGGCAGCACATGCTGGGGTTTTGAAACACTTCTGTAAAAAAAAAAAAAAAAAGCTAGTTTCTCACTAAACGGGTTTTATTTCTCACTATATAGCCACAATGGAGCAATGCCCCCAGATGTTAGTGTTGAGTATGTCATTCAAAAGCTATATTTTATGGATAAGAATTCCCTGAACTGGAACTGAGGGGCTTTGCCCAAAACCACAGGCTGTCCACATACTTTTGGCCACATGGTGTATGCCTGAAGTCTTGGCATAAATTAAAAAACGGCTCTTATGCAGGACCTTAAGCTCTGCTATTATATGCTAAAAGACAATAGCTTGCACAGTGTAAACCGGTATTTATCTGAATTCATTAGTGGCAGATTATACAGAAAAGAATCTGGATGAAATGGTGTAGTAGCTGTGAAACATCTCAGCAGTTTATTTGATAAAAAAAAGAGCATAGTTAGGTTTGACAACAAAAACAACCCATGGTTTTTGTCTGTGAAGCTATATTTGTCACAGATGCTGTATCACCATGTCATTGTCAGCTGCAGAAACAAGAAGGTGAGTTTCTCTTCTTTTTAACTACATCACTCGTCTCTGATCTGTTAAGTTCTTGTGTTTTTCTAATGGCACATTCCTGCACAATAAACGCCAGGAGAAGGGGCTCACTTGGGTGTTGAATGGCACTGCATTCAATGAGTCAGATGGGATGAGAATCCAAGTTGTAGTAGTGGTGTGTGAGGATAATGGGTGTAGCAGCACAGCACATTAAACAGAAACCATGGGAGTAGACTATTGCAGACTTTCCACCCTGTAGGCTCAAAGCAAACATTCTGAATAAGTGCCAAGTTTCTCTTATTCTTTCAACCAGGAAACTAAAAGTAAAGCCCACAACTTTTAAAAGATAAGGTTGGTGGTAATTTCTATATATTTTTTTACTGTTAAATCCTGTGACCAAAGTCAGCACTTAATTGATCTTTCTACCAAGTGTTGCATGTTTATCAAACTCCCATATGTCGTAGAGCTGTTGTCCTAAAACTATTACAAGTGCACGTTGAGTCACACTGTTGGACAAGCTCCACCATTATCAGCAGTGACACTTATGGAGCCTGGATTGTGCCATTTTTATTGTATTGTAAAAGTTAAAATATACATTTGCTACTTTGTAATTATTTAAAGTGCTCATGGCATGCTTTTCTGTGTTTTCTGACTAATCTATAACGTTACAACAATGAATTATCATCTGAAATGTGACTGAAAACCCAAAAACCGAGGTGTACCTATGTTGTTCTTCTATACAGAAGCACCTCGGTTTATACACGTCTCGCGAAGTCTTGCAGGCGAAACTTTTATTAACGACTATGTAAAGTCTTATGCAATAGTTTATGGATTTCCTTGAATGGTCATATTCTCCAGGCTGTGCTTGTTCATGCGAGCTTGCCTGCGGCTGTAAACCTACAATCAGCCGGCCCGTGAAGCACCATGGGACAGTGAATGATCAGCTCATCAACGCTGGATTCCCCTGGAGCACGGTACATGTTTTTTTTTTTATTGCAACACAAAATAATACATTTACAGAACAAAGGACATAACATAGAAAATGAGACAATAGACTAACAAAAAAGGATGATTATTAAATTTAGTTTGTGTGTGAAGGTATGTAGTGTGCAGACTGATATTCAGTACATATTAAAGAAAAATAAAACCAAATAAATTAAGAAATTCAGGGGGGTGGGGGGTGAAAGTAAAAATGTTTTTTTTTTTTTTTAAATTGGGGATGTTAAATTGATAAAGGACCAGGAGTGCACTGGTGATGCCCCTGCCCTGAACCACCCGCACGAGGTGAGGCCATCACTTGGGGAGGTCCGGAGCAGCTCAGCAGGGTGAGGCCGTCCAGGGCAGCAGGACAGCAGTGTCACATTAAACAATCAATTAGTAATTGTATTTTTAATGGAATAAGAGCTTAACTTTTTGCAAATGCATTTATTGATGTGACTGCTTAACATCTAATGATACATTTGTGTGCAAAGCTAAACAGTCGTCTCCCCTGAGGAGCAGCAGCAGGAGCAATGACTGGCCGGACTCCTGCTTCAACTCTTCTATAGGTTTTAATTATCTTTATAATTATCTTATAATGCTGATTATTGCATTTGTTTGTTTAATAGATTTGTTATGCATTATTTAATTACCATAATACGTTTCTAACATTTTTTAAAAAAAAGTTCTTTATTAACATAAATATCTATAATAATTCTGGCAAGCGTTTAAGATTTAGTCACAAGGAACATTCATACACTCACCGGCCGCTCTATTAGGTACATCTGTACAATTGTAAGCAGTTCAATGCAACACGTCCACCTTAACATCTGTGTTTATGAAGCTCAAAATGTTTGTGTATGTATTTTTGTCGTCCCCAGCTACATAGATTATAGTGTCAGACTATAATGTAGTCCAGTACAACTATAATTTAATTTATACATTTATGACAATTTCACCAAAAACAAACATTTTGAGCCTCAAACACAGAAAAGGGAGTGTTGCATTGAAGTGTATACGGGTGTACCTAATAAAGTGGCCGGTGAGAGGCTGAGGGTGCAGTGAAAGTAGTGACACTGTTGATTTATCTGGTGATTTGAAAAATGCTAGCCATAGCCTTTAATGTCCAATTTGCTATATTCCTCAATGTGAAGACTTTGACACTATCCAGACATTTATTGATTACTGTGCTCCGTGACTCAGCCAAGACAAACCAGGTGTAGTGTTTGGTAATAGCATTATTGCAGTCTGTGAAATGGCCAGGTTAAATACAGTTTGAGTACCGTTGCAACACTAAAGAAAACTGCACGGACACAAAAACAAAACAAAAAGCAGCAGGTTAAAGTTTCTACACAGGCTCATCTTTTCTGGTCCACAGGATGAGCATCATCGTCGTTAGTACAGAGTTCAAATTAAAGGCCTCATTGGAGATCATTGGACATTCATTGGGTCGTACCATCTAATTGAGCAAGCAAGAGAGAGGTGTCGAGTTGTTAAGGAAGGGAAGGAGGGTTTAAAGCACTGGAGTGCAAAATGGCTTCTGAGCACCGAGACCGATGCATTCCTGTCGTCTGTGATTCGCTGTTTACTCGCTTGGTTTGACACTTCGTTCTTGCCGTGACACACAAGTGAAGGGAAATCAACATCTAATCAGGAAACGGCCGGTGTCCTGCAGATCAAATGCTCAGGTCAGTAAAAAGAGCAAGAAAAATACGCACTGATCTGCTGAAGTTAAATGGTTCGTCAGCTGTGGCGCTACGCTCCGACCAGGCATCACCTATGAGAATTTCTATCCCAACATGAGAATGATAGAGAATACAGGTTGATGTTTATAGATAGCTCTTTATAAAATATAGATTCTTAAAATATCTGATAGAGTTTGGTGTTCTGAAGTCAAAATACAAAATGTCGAAGATTTGAAAAAGCTCTTCATTGACATCCTCTTAGTTTTTCAGGTGTGTGTGTATACGTTGTTGATATTGTAGTGGGTTTGTGACTGTCTGTGCCCGATGGGAAGCCTTCTACCATAGAGAGAGTTTCTTTTATCTGGTCTTACAAAAACAGTTCACACTGTCTCTGAGGGCCAACTTAGTGTGATTCCCCCATTAATTACCAATGTGATCAGATATTGATACAAGGGCAGGTAGTGCTGCAGTGCAGGCTGAGTGTCCATACTTGAGAGATGTGTACCTGTATTAGACAACATGTGTTTTACCTACAGTACATAAAATCATATACAAACACTTAAAACTGTCTGTGTTTTACACGTGTGTTTATATATACTTCAGCAGAACAGCAGGAGAAAGGCAGAGAAAAAGTGGAAATGACAGTTTGTCTTCCTGCAGGTTTGTCCAAACCCCTCAGAAAATCTGGCAGATTGAGGCTAATTAAGTTTCTTAGAGAACATTTTTCCTTTAGGACCCCACAGAGCTAGTGAAGTTTGCCTTTATGCTCTGATTGGACATCTTTGGTCTCAACATCAGATTCAGGCTTGCCAGGCCTCTCCCACTCAGTGTCCTTTGCAGGCTGAGCTTTGGGAAGAGTTTCCCATCCTTCCTCACTGTGGCCTCAGGAGGTTCAAGAAGGGTTTGGAGCTCCGAGAAGAGATGCTTCAGTCAGTCTTGGTCCACCTTAAACCATCAGAGGTCCACCGGGCTGCTCATTATGTAAGTAGTGGAGGTAAGGTGCTTAACCGCCACATGTCTGCCTGACAGTGTAGGTTAACTGCTGGAGGGTCCACTGATGAGGAAATAGGTCATCATCTCGCCTTTGCCCTTGACTGTGACCACACCTCTGTACTCCAGTGTGTAGTTATAGGAGCTCAGGACCTGATAGAGATCGGTGGTCACCTGAGGGTGGGGTGGAGGAGGAACATAAAACCATTGCTTTTACAGTAGTTAACATTTCAGTGTGAACCTGGTTGGTGAAACACTAATGAACAGTTATTTAACCAGGTGAGCCTCAATGAGATTGTCATCTCTTTCTCAAGAGTGACCTGGCCAATTTCTGACTTTAAAGGATGAGGCCAGTCATTTTATATTAACGGTATTTTTAACAGTCTGTTAGCTGTCAGTCCTGGATTATTTTATTCAGTTGTGCTATAGACTTAGATTGTTGTTCAAAAACTATTAAAAACACATCAGGGCAACACACCGCTGCACTGGTTGACATATTTCCTCATTACAAAACACTAGAGCCTCATATTTTTTAATAAATATTGTCCCAAAGGTCCCAGCGGACATGACTTTTTACAGCAAGCGAAGTAGCGAGCGTCAAGGGCCTGGTGCACAAAATCTCTGTATATTCTTAGCAAATAGCAGGGTCTTGTGTTTTGTAATGAGGAAACGTCACCCAGTGCAGCGGTGTGTTTCCCTGATGTGTTTTTAATAGTTTTTGAACAACAGTGGAGGTCTATGGCACAGATGAATAAACCAATCCAGGACTGACAGCTGAAGACATGAGTATAGAGGCAGTTCATTGTTGGTTTATGTCTCTTTATGGGCAGTGTTGAAAATAGTTCATGTAGAAAATGACTGGCCTTATTCTTAGAATTTAGACTTTTGCAAAAGTCAGAATTCTGAGAAAAAAGTCAAACTCAATTTTTTTTGTGGCCCTAATCCTCCATTTGACTTTTCAGTCAAATTTAACCCAGTTTTTTTAATTGGACATCAGTGTGTAATGTAAAGTCTCATTTAATATAACCTACTGTATCTGCCAGGCTCATCAAAGAAAAGAAATAGAAGTTATGACAAATGTCCCCATTTTCAGATTGTCTCTACAGGACACCAATAAACTGTCACAGCAGAGACATACAGGATTAAATATTGTGAACCAAAAAGATGGACCTCATTCAAATATTAATACAAGCAGTGGTTTCATATTTGCTCTGGCATGATTGGTTTTTCAGAATGAACTTAAAGTAGCTTTGCATTATTAAGTTTGAATATTTCACATCTGATAGAGCGGAACCAATATGGCCAGTTTTAATTAGCAGTTATCATTAACTTCAACGGGCTTGTTCTAAATCCAACTGTCAATCATTACTTGAATTTTTGTCCAAAACAGACTGAAGCTAACTCCAGTATGGTAGAATGGAACCAACAGCTGCACCAGTGAAAATACTGACTAATGAGCCAATTTACTATTAACATTCATTGTTTTAAGTATAATTTGACTGGGTTGAGCCATTTGTAAACCAACAATGCTTAGAGAGGATAAGATATCAGAGAAGGCATTTTTCTTTGACAATATCACGCCATGGTTATTTCACATCACCTGGATTCTCTCGGGTACACCTGTGCTGTCCATGCGACTCGCCACGTTAACCGTGTTCCCCCAGATGTCGTACTGAGGCTTTCTGGCCCCGATCACCCCGGCAACCACAGGGCCGATGTTAAGACCTAAGAAAGGAAATGTATAAACGATGACAAAAAGTATTTTACTTTGACAATAAGTCACATATTCTTACAAAAGTATCCATGTCACAGAATATGTATTTCTGCATGTCCTCTCCCTATGCTTCTATATGCCACCACTACACAAAACTAACTTTGTGTCTCTGTGTCTCCTCTCTCCCGTAGTGTGTCCTCTCTCTCTCTCTCTTGTTGCGATTTGGCGCTATACAAATAAAACTGAATTGAATTGCATGTATGTGTTGAACTGTGGCCCCTCTTCTTCTTGTACAGCTCACCTATTTTCATCTTGAAGTTGTTAAAAGAGTGTTCATTGATGTATTTCATCTGGTCCATCAGCCTCATAGCATAATCAGCCAGAGCCCGGATGTGCGTGCGCCCGGCCTTGTCGTACGTGGAGTCGTTGAGGCCGGAAGCTGCCATGTAGGTGGAGCCGATGGTCTTGATCTTCTCCAGTTGACGGAACTGATCCTCACTGATAATCTAATGAGAGAGGTTTAATCTATGAAGCTCTACATAACCATATTCCTTGAGTCCTAATTTAATAAATGTCTTGCTTTCCCAGATTTCCTCTCTATTTTCATTACTAAGGAACTTTTTACAGTGCGGTGCATTTAGTCATAAGAGTTGACTGTGATGAATATTTTAGATATTCATGTCGAGTGAAATCACTAATGTTAAAGGACGGAGACAGGCTGGTGAACAGAGTGGAGTGTCTAAGGAGACATATTGGTGAAGACCAAACCCCAACCCGACAGGAGAGTGAATAACTGGACTCCCATTAGGTGGTTACTAACCTGACTCCAAATGAATCCTGATGTTGGTTCACTGCTCTACTGGTGCCTAAATAAAGTTTGATGGTTACGGATGCCTTCAGTCGGCATTACAAACTCTTTCTAATGTGGATGGGAACAGTGCAGCCCTCTTTTTACATTGAGTAAAATCAGACAGAAACCAACCTAATCCTCATTTTACTGGAAAGCACAAACGCCACTAAAACCAGTAGGTCCCACAGTGGAAGCTGCAGATTTATATCGTCATTCACACAGCCAGCCGGCTTGGTTCACACCTTACCTCGTCAAAGTCAGCGATGATCTCGTTGAGAAGCCGCAGACACTCCACTCCCTCGTTGTTGGCCTCCAGCTCCACGTAGAACTCAGAGAAGTTGCTGATGGAGGCGAACATGACTGCGACACACTCACATGATTGGTAGTAGAGCTCATCGTTACGCCGTTCACGCTGCAGGAAGTGGGCGGCCACGTCTTTGGGTAGGATGTTGTGGAGCAGACGGCGGTTGTAGGCCTGTAGCTCCTCCATCTCCTCCTTCTCCTCTGTGGCCTAGTGTAGAGTTCAGGACAGGTTAAAGAGCGAATGGAGGCTGAATCAGCAGGGGCATAAACTGCTACTCTTGTTTACACAGTGACGTATCCTGACTACTGGACAGGGACTAAATTTGGTCCACACATTTAAGGTTTCCAGAGAATATAATTCTGGGATGCACCGTCAGTGGAGACAGATGTTTACTCTGACACCACCCTTTACCCAATTTTCCCAACTTTTACCTAATACCTATTTCCTTTACAATGAGCATTATAGCCTCACAGACGTAACTCATCTGTAACAGCAGTGAACTTGAAAATAAAGCAGCTTAGATAATGGCTACCCTCTTGACTGGACCACAGGTAACTCAGCCTGCTTCACCACCTCTATGAGATGTCTGAGAACCCTTGAGCCACCATTACAATATTTTATTATTAAATGAATACATCGCTACTCATTGACGTATCAAAAGCACGCCCAGGCTGTTTAAACCCAAAACATGAGTAATACATGTTCACACACAGACCTGCAGCTTCCAGAGGAAGTCAAGCCTGGCTGTGGACTCCACCTGCTGGGCATGAAGGTAGAGGGCGAGAACGAAGACGGTGATGATCACTGGGGTCATGATCTTCAGGGGAACCTTGGAGTCCACCACACAGCTGCTGGTCAGCGTGCACACACACATACACACTTGTTAGGCTTTCACATGTTTTTACTGAGCATTAAATGAATTCAAGCAATCACTTCCCATCTAACATTCAGGTGTTACATGAAGTTATCCTGTATGGTGTGTAAAGATCTGCTGCCATCAGGTCACTGGAGTTACTTTGTGCTAACAAGCAATAATGATGCTGTTATGTTAATCAGATGAAGGAGGCTATGCTCTCTGTGGTAACAACAACATGCCATCAGCCTCACCTTGTTCCATTCATGTACTCACTGTGAGGGCAAGAACAGAGAAAAGCTAATCAGCTATTAGAACATCTGCACAAAGATTTAACCACTACAGTGCATAACAACACACACACACAGCAGGCTCACTCAGTGTTGATGGCATTGGACATGACGAGCAGGTCCTGGTTGTCGAAGAGACTCACTTTAGGCACCTCCATAATAAGAAGGTAGAGCAGCTCGATGAAGAGCATGAGGAAGAGTTTACCAATGCAGCTGACCTGCAGGAAGACGGAGCAGGCCAGCAGGCTCAGCAGCACACAGGAGGTGAAGTACTGAAGGAGGAACATGGAGAGAAAGGTGTTAGGAAAAGTACATCTATGTGTAAGTAGTTCTGACTGAGTCGTATCCAGAGTTTTTATACATCAGCCTTGAAACCCACAAACTAAATGTGAGTTTTTATAGTGTACACGCAGTAACCCTCACTTAGCACCTGTTTGTTCTGTTACAGTGAAAATCATACCACTATTACAGATGTAACACTTCTGCTGGTTTTAGTGCAAAGCTGCTGCGTTCTGATTACACTCACACTGTGTTGCCGTTGTTCTGATTACACTCACACTGTGTTGCCTCATTTTCTAGACTGGTAAAGTTTGATGGCACGGTTTAACTGCACCACTGGACAAAGAAGGAAGCTACATCTATGATTAGATCATGTAATGTATGTCAAAGTACTTGTTTTATTGATAGAGAAGCCTAAACAGCTGTAACAGATATATTTGATCAATCCAATTAGTCCCAAATATGCATTGCTAATTGTTCTGCAGAAATGATTCGGATGAATTGGTTTTACTGCTTCAGACAAGTTACTCATGCATTGGGCTGAAGTTAAAACGTTGTCATCATTAGGTTTTGCTTGTAACAACATCCATATTGTAACATAATTGTCAAGGAAAATAAATCCCTATTTGTGCTGAATGTTGAAATGATGTGAAAGACAAAACACACAGTGCAGATAATGTATGATTTCTACTGCACAGGAACAATATGTGGAGACCAAGGCAGCCTGGACCTCAGGAAAGCTGCAGATGAGGGCGTCGTCTCCACAGGGGCTCTGTTGGGTGTCCAGGCTGTAGTTGAGGAAGCGGGCATGGCAGGCGTTAACACTGCTCACACTGATATTGAACTCTGCTTGGATGCAGCTCCGCAAGTCTTGGCTGTGGCAGGTGAACTGAGCAAAGTCGGAGGTCAGACAAAAATCAGGTGATTCAGAACCAGAAGAATCAAAATGTGTCTTGCTTTTGTAAAATTGTTTTGCAATGAGATGACAAATTGCTCAGTGCTTTTGGAACAAATGTTAATGACAACTTACAATAGTGATGAAAGCAGAAAGAAAGACGATGATGATGGTGAAGACGCCCACCAGGGTGCTGTTCAGTCTGGACTGGACTATGCTTTTAGAAAGAGACTGCAGAGGGACTGGGAACAGCTGGGAGCGCGGGGCGAGTGAGTGGGTGATGAACACAGAGGGTCAGATAGAAGAGACAGAAAACAATCCACTTAATGAATATTTATTTAGATGTGGTGCATTAGACCTTCTTCTAATATGCATCCTCTAAATACAAAAACAGTAAATACATACTGCAGAGCAGTTTCTGAGTCACCACTTTATAACAGAATCATGATTCACCAGTGAAAACAATCAACAGCAACTCTGCTTTTTTTAAAATCTCTTGTGTTCCTCACGATCCATCAGCTGGTGGAGAAAGGAGGGCGTGGATGCACCAGAAGCACAAATACTAGGAGCACGGTCCCAGTACCGGCCTACAGTTGGATGGATCATCTGTGACACACTAATCGTGCATCTAAAATTTGTTCCGTTCTTTGAAGAGAGCAGGTTGTGTGATGTCAATTTACTTTACATTTACAATGTTGATATGAGCTTTTCAGAGTTGGAGCTCAGAAAAACTGAGTCCCATGTTGAAATCTGCACTTTTCTTTAGGGGATTTAGTGAAACTTCTTATCTGCAGTAAGGTCAAGAAGACAGTGTTGAAATTTCAAGATCAGTATCAGCATCAAACCCAGAGTGTGATAAAAGATTTATTCTATGATGTCTGACGTTCCATGTAAGGAAAGAAAGAAGAACTCATAGGGAACAAACGCTATCAGTCCTTCTTTGTACTTGATTACATTTGAGATAAACAGGAAAAAAAGTCCTATAATCACTCTTATCTCTTAACACTCAGTAAAAGAGCGATGTCTTAGATCTGCACAGGGCGACGAGTTTATTTGGAACTGTCGTTCATCATGAGCAGAGACGACTCACCCAGAAGCAGCAGTAAGCAGCTGAGACAAACATGATGGCCATCAGGACAATGAGACAGGTGACGAAGAAGCCGATCATCAGACTAGAGCTGCAGACAACAAAGATATCATCATTGGAACATCATTGTACTGTATGCACACGTTTCACTTCTGTCTGCATTTTATAGTTTACTGTTTGTTTGTCTGATACACTGGTACCAGAAACACTGTAGGCAGCAGCATCTGCTTCCCTTTGTTGTCCACAACCTCGTGTCTATGTCAATGATATAGACGTTATATGTGTGTGAATGTGACATGAAGGGATAACAGCAGGAGCACAGAGGAGAGAAAGTGTGAAGGTGCTGCTGAAAATGATGAAGGAAAACAATGAATAAACAATGAAAAAGAGAGGAGGTGTGAGGAGACATTGTAAGGGGGATTCTGA